AATCAAAATTCCAATCACCCCATGGAGCCGCTTTGCTCTCCTGCGGTCGGCGTCGGCGTAAGGGTAAAGTTGTAATCCCCATCCCATCCCTTCCTTATAATTAATCAAGTTTACAAAATGAATTACCAAATGCTGAATCATTATATTACGTAATATTATAAATTTATAATATAATAATATAATAAGTTATTATATAATTTATTTTTTATTTAAATTTTTTATAATATTATATATATTTATTTAATATTAAATTATATATATTTAATATTAAATTATTATTATAAATATATAATTTTATATAATATTATAATTATAATATTATCAAATTAAGATTAAAAGAAAATCTTTTGATTGATTGGTTGAACAATAAATAACTTAAAAAATAATTCAAATATAATTTTTTTATTTAATTTTATGCATTATTTAAATTTATTTATTTAAAACATATACACTTATTTAATGACAGATGTCACGTGCGAAAGTTATGAAAAAAAATGGTAGAAACAGCCAACAGATGTTCTCTGTATCATTACCCAAGCAGCTTTTATTCATACGCGGCTCCTTACTGGTCAACGTTTCAGCGGGATCAGCCATTCCTCTGCTAAATGGCGGAGGCTATTGTTTCTGCTATCTTACAGCAGCTAGTAACAATTGCGGCCGAAGAAGCAAGGCAAAGGGTGAGGCTGCTTGCAGATGTTGAAGATGATGTTGAAAGGCTTAGGCACAACCTTGAGGCCATCCGTGCTGTTGTCGGGGATGCTGAAGAAAGGAAGCGGTTGGATCCTCTTATCAAACGTTGGTTAGGTAAACTCAAGTATATGGCTTATGAGATGGAGGATGTATTGGACAAGTGGAACATTGAACTGCTCAAGGTGCGAACTGGCAGGGTTGGGAAATTTTATAATATAAAGGCAAAGATATGTTCCTGCATTCCATGTTCTACTACTCCAGACCAAGTTGGTTCGCGTTATAAAATTGCTTTGAGTATAAAGAATATTAACGTAGCACTGGATGTGACTTCTGCCAACAAAAACATGCTTGGATTAGTAGTAAGGCCAGAGCGAGAACAACCTATACAAACAGAAACAACATCTAATGACGTTGATATGTCAGATTTAATTGGTAGAGATGAGGTTAAGGAAGACATAATAAGCAGCTTGTTGTGTGAATCTAGTGAAGAAGGTCAACGGAGTGAACTTAAAACCATCTCTGTTGTAGGGATGGGAGAGATGAGGAAGACAGCTCTTGCTCAACTTGTTTATAATGATGATCAACTTGAACAGCATTTTGATAAAAGGATTTGGGTATGCGTCTCAGATTGTTTTGATGAGAAGAAAATTGCCAAAGAAATCATTTTAAATGTTGAAGGCCTCCAGCATGATTTATCATATGCTCTTGATTCACTTCCAATGCAAATCCTACAGCAAAGAACTTGTGAATCTATTCAAGGAAAGAAGTTCTTTCTTGTGTTGGATGATGTGTGGGACCATTCTGAACATACATGGGAAAGACTACAACAGACTTTCAAACACGGTGCCCCAGGGAGTAGGATTCTGTTAACCACTCGAAAGGATGAGGTAGCGAACATGATGGAAAATTCCCATGTCTTTTGTTTGGAATAGTTAACTGATGAGGATTGTTGGAAGATACTTAGACACTTTGCATTTTCTGGAGGGAATAAGGAGGCACCTCCAAATTTAGATTACATTGGGAGACAAATTTCAACGAGGTTTTAGGGCTTGCCTCTTGCTGCAAAGACTATAGGATGCCTCCTAAGGTTCAAAAGCAGTAGAGAAGAGTGGGAAAAGGTCTTGAACAATAAAATCTGGGAATACCCTTCTTACAGAGGACTGATTTTTAATTCATTATTATTGAGTTATTGGGATTTGCCTTCACTAGTAAGACGATGTTTCTTGTATTGTGCCAGTTTCCCCAAAGACTTTGTAATCTCGGTAGATCATTTGGTAAGACACTGGATGGCACAAGGTTTTTTAGGGTATCCAGAAGGGAAAGTAACAGGATATGAGTGCTTTGACTTATTAGCAGCTCGATCTTTCTTCCAAGATTTCGCAATAAATTCGAATGGTACCATATTTATATGCAAAGTGCATAACATTGTGCATGACTTTGCCTTGTATTTAACAGGAGAGGATTCATATCATTATTCTCCCTCTTATTCTTTCTCTATGAATCATACTCGTTATTTTACAGCAAATCTTGCACAGCCGATTACTTTTTCGCTAGGAATTAGACAGTTGTGCAGCATCATACTATTTTCTGAAAGGCATCCCATAACAGTTGAAGGCTTATTGCGCTTCATCTTCAATCGTGCTGAGGTTTTAAGGGTGTTAGATTTGAATTGGTCTAATTCATGTGCTCATTTATATGAGTCAATTCCACAAGAAATAAAGAAATTGATCCATTTGAGGCTCCTTAACTTGTCTTTCAGTAGCAGATTGAGAGAATTGCCTGAGTCGCTTTGTGAATTACTTAATCTTCAATCCCTGGATCTCAAGGGCTACGAGAGTCTTGAGAAACTGCCAGACGGGATGGGAAACTTGATCAGCTTGAGATTTCTGCGGACTTCAGGTTGTTGCAGTCTAACTTGCTACCCCAAAGGCATTGGGAGATTGACAAATCTCAAAGATGTATATGAGATCTCTGCCAGAGCTGATAGAAACCACCCTAAAGAATTCAGTCTTGGGGACCTGGAAAACATGGACAACCTTTGTACTGTCTGGATGAAACTGAAAGGAAATGCAATAGATATGGGGGAGGCCACAAGAGCTAGATTTGAGAATAAGACACAGTTAAGGGATTTCAGAGTATATTTGGATGGGGATTTGGATGAGGATGAGGTGATTCAAGCTTTCAACCTGCCTTCCTCCATAAATGTCCACTTCTGCAATGCCGACTTTGAGTTCAAGTAGCCGGTGTATAGATATGGCAGGTAAGCCTTCTTCACTTTAAATTGGAATAAAAGTTGTATGATCATCTTCTCTTTATTTATATCACTCTGACTATCCATGCTGTATATGCTGCATCTTCTTTTATCTCAAGACATGCTTGGTTTGGTTGTTATGTTACTCCCAAAGGTAAATGATTTATAATATTAATAATTTTGGACAAATATATCCTTTGTTTCTAATTGGCAATTATCATTGCTGTAACCAGCTTGTATATATAGACTTAAAAAGAAGAGATTGTTTTGTAGGAAGCCTGAGGGATGATGGAAGTATTGATGTCCGAAGAGCTACTAAGTAAGCCGGTTTTATCCGTGAAGAGGAAAGTTGTCCTTGGTGAGAAGTTGCTAGCTAGTTGGTCTGTACTTGAACTTTGCAAATTGTGAGTGATTCATGTGATTTTCTACTCTATACAACATGTTATGTTGTGTGATAATTTACTTCTAATTAGAGTAAGTAGCTTTTAAGCTTAAAGCTATTGGAATATAAGCATGTGTGCTATTCACAAGTCCAACCATGGCATGGCCCCATGAACAGCACTTGGGGCAAGAAGAGTGCCGTAAATGTTGACTGATGTATTACTTTGAAGCTGGAATGGCTCACATCACATATGTTGTATCTGCAGAAAAAAAAAATGATAAAAGGAACAAATTTCAATCCAATGAATAAATAAAGAATAAACTGAAGCTTTTTAAAAGACTAAAGATCCAATCCAAATTCCAATCTTGATTGTGCATAAAGTCTTATTCAACTTTCATAAAACTCAAGAAATAAGCAAAAGTATCCTTATAAGGAAAGATGACTTTTTGCTTGAATTGTTTTCGGATGAGTTGCTCGGACATCTGGATTAATCAAAAGAAAAAAGTAAATTAAAAAAATCTGAAAAAAGGAAAGAAAGAAGAGATTTAATCCATATTCTCTGAGTTAAGTGTGCGGGTTATGTTTGTGGAGACTGAATCCGGATCAGTCGGCTCGGATCTTGTTAGTTCATAGGCTTTATTTGGGTTAAGTCTGAAAGTTTGGGCCGGGTTTGGTTGATGTAGGGCCTCTTTAGGATTTGATATTGTTTGATGGGTTTAGGTCATCAGTCTAGTGTCTGCTGTTTGGGCACGCCGATATTACCAATTCAGAATTCTGGGTTCGATTTCCTTTGTTTTGTCCAAAGTTTGGAGCTTTACCTCCCCTAGGAATGGGATTCTGCTCGTCTAACCCAAAGTTTGTAGCTTTCCATCAATTGTTAAATTCAATTTCGATAAACGTAACTTAATATTTTGATACTCTCGATTGTTAGATTACATTACATCAAAGCACAGCCCGTGGATTAGCCCCTGAAATCTGTAAGATTTTCTGTTATTTAATTTTGCATTGGATTCCGATATTCTGTCTGTTCATCCCACTAATCAGTGATATAATTGTGTTGTGTTATAAAGCAAAACCATGGAAAAGAAGAAGAAGAAGCGTGTGCGTGTGGGAATCTAGGTGGATCGAATTTCGGATTTGTCCGATGCCGTCCTTCATTACATATTTTCTTTTCTTCAACCTGTGTCTTGTCTAAGAGATGGCTTCGTGTTTGGCAAATCCATCCAATTTTGGATTTCTCTCCATATTCTTTTGGTCTACAACGTTTTTTTATGCCTCTCCGTGATGGGAGTTTGGCACAAATGGTCTTTGGTATCAAATCATTGACTGAGTTATCTATTCACAGTTTGGAGACTGTTTTTCAGAGAGCCATAATGCATAAATCTCTGGTGACCTTGTCCCTCAACCAATTTCGTTTTGATAGGATGTTGATATTTGATGATCAAAACCTCCCTTGCATTAGGTTTATATCGTTATCAGGAGGGCTAAAAATAGCTTGCACCGGCTTCAAGAATTGAAGTTATTTTTGTGTAGAAAGTTAGATAAGATAGAGGTTTTTGCCCCAATGCTAACTTTAATGTCCTTTTCATCTCGAGTGACAGACAGATCCTCATTCTTTTCTCTCAGTTCTCCATCAAAATTGCTTAGTTTAAGACTTTCTTCAACTTTTCCGAGATTTGATACCTCATTGTTACTTAATCTCCTTCCCTTATTCCCTAGTGTAAGACTTTCTTCAACTACTTCGAGACTTGATGCCTCATGGTCACATAATGCAAAATGAAACTGAAACTCTTGATCCATTGTTCTTTCCAGGTGAAAAGGTACTTTCTAATGAACACAAGATCTTTTACTATCTTGGAATCAATTAATAGTTTTTTCCTGAGGAAGGACAGGATGGATGTCTTATAGAATTTTAATGCAAGACATTTGAGGCAGAGAAGATGATGACCACGGTGCTTCAAAATGTTGGTGGCAGTGGTCCATCTTTAAGGTGAAGGACGCTGAAGGAAATAAGCAGAAGGGACCTCTTTGTTAGGATGCTTTGTCGAAAGCAATACAAATAATACAGGAAATAGGTAAGCCAAAACATAGTGTTGATTTTTATTTTAAATGAAGGTGATTTTTTTTTTTTCTTTTATGTGAGCATGGGGATGACTTAAGTTTGAAGCAAGGGCAACTCTGTCAAATTCACCTTCTAATTTACATGAAGTATAGAAGGGCTTTTGTGATGGAATCGTGGAACCAACATAATGGAGTTATAATTGGAAAAGCGATCAAGTATTTAAATGATATTTGCTTTGCTATCTCCTTCTTTTTTTTTCTTTTGTTTTTTTTTTATTCAGAACAAGAAGAATTACAAGGATAGGGGAATATCATTGTTTAGGTTTAAACCTACAAATTAAAATTAATTTTTTAAAAAAAAAAATTAAGAGAAAAAAATACTATAACTCGGTTCAAAATCATAAAAAGAAATAACAAGTTGACTAAAAAAGAAGAAAAAAAAAGACTAATTAATAAATATAGGCACAAAGGGAAAGTATTCTTAATCTATTAACTCTACTTTGATATGGATGGAATCAACCGATGAGAATCATGTCTTTCTACCGATGGAGGAACTTGTCTCTAATGGCATATAATTTCGTCGCAACTTCTTTCATCTCCATCCTTTCACTTGGTGACTCCATTGAGCAGGCAACTCCAACCTCGGCAATCGCCAAGAGGCTCTCCAAAACACCAACTCCCTTTCGCATATTCCTTGCTTTTGAATTTTCTGCTTCTTGAACCTCCTGGAGCAATGAAGGATCTATAATATCAGTTACCCTTTCAGGAAGCCTTGTCTTGACCAATTGGTGTATGGTGAAGTTGTCTTTGAACATTGAATCAGTTGGTGCTTTCCCTGTAATCATCTCCAGTAAGAGAATTCCAAAACTATAGACATCACCAAGCTTGGATATCTTAGTGCTCATGCCATATTCTGAAATATAAAATAAAAGGTCAGTAAATATTGTTGATTTATCATGTCAGTAATCACAAAGATAGATCAAATGCCAATTGAATGATCAAAAAGTAGAGAGATTGAAGAAAGTTACAGAAAATTAAAATGATTACCCGGTGCTACATAGCCAATTGTTCCCTTCACACCCATGGAACTGCTTTGGTTTTGAGAAATTGATGAAAATCTTGCCAGGCCAAAATCACCCACATGAGAAACCATTTCCTCATCAAGTAGAACATTGCTTGGCTTAAGGTCCCCATGAACAATTGATGGCTGGCAATAGTTATGAAGGTATTCAATTGCAGAAGCGACCTCAACGGCTATATTGAGTCTTTGAATGAGGCTTAAACTACGTGCAATAGTTTGATCTTCATTTGGATGTAGCCACTTCTCTAAGCTTCCATTTTGCATGAATTCATAGACTAAAGCCTTGAAATTGGTTCCTCTAAAGTCTATACTTGAGCAAACAGTTACAATCTTGATCAAATTGCGATGTCGAATATTTCTCAATGTTTCACACTCAGCCATAAAACTCTTGGTAGCTCCTCTCCTCTTAAGGTTTAAAACCTTCACCGCCACTAGCATTTCATCTCCACTCAAAATTCCTTTATAAACACAACCAAAACTTCCCTCACCAATCAAGTTAGATGATGAGAACTCATTGGTTGCCCGACTTAGCTCTGCATAAGAAATCTTTGGATATTGTTCTGGATCTTGCACATCGGTAGAAGTTGAAAGTTTCCTTTTCGATCTTCTGAATGCAAAGATAACAAGAAGCGATACCATCAAGAATATTGAGCATGAAGCACTTACTGAGATCAACACGATCAAATGATGAAGCTTTCTGTCTCCAATCTTGCATGAAGGAAGTCCTAGCTGATGCATGCCTCCACAGAGTCTTGGGTTTCCAGAAACAGAAATTATGCTTGCATTTTCAAAGATCCTTCCAGTTGGCAACACTCCTTCAAAATTATTGAATGATAAGTTTAGGTATTGCAACAAAGGAAAATTTTGGAAGTATTCTGGAATTTCGCCAGAAAATTTGTTATTGGAGAGGTCCAACGATACAAGGCTTCTCAAATTGTTAAATGATGGTGGGATGCTTCCTTCAAACAAGTTACCATCCATCCAGAGTCCCTCTAACATCAAGCAATCACCTAAGGCACTTGGAATTCCTCCTGACAATCGATTGTGTTGAACACTCAAATGCACAAGGTTGGTCATCTTACCCTCAGCTAAATCTATGGGCAATTGTCCTGTAAATGAATTTTGTGGCAAGTAGAGGTCTATGAGATGAGATAAGCTAAAAAGTTGTTTCGGTATGTTACCAAACAAGGAATTGTTCTCAAGGTAAAGATATTCAAGTTGTGTACAATTTCCCAAACTAGGAGGAATCAGGCCCTTCAAATTGTTCTCTTCTAGGTTAAGATATTGAAGTTGGGTGAGATTTCCAAGCAAGGATGGAATTGGCCCTGAAATTCTATTCGCCTGTAGTTCAAGATCAGATAGCTTTTCCAGTTTGCATATAGAAGAAGGAATTTCACCTGTAATACTGGAAGCAGTTATAACCAGAACCTCTAAGCCAACCAGATTCCCAATCTCTTTGGGGATTTTACCTGAAATCTGTAGGTTTGCACCTATGGTGAACCTTTCAAGCTTAGTTGAAAGATTGGCAATTGAAAGGGGTAATACACCTTCGAAATTATTGCCGTCAAGTCTCAATTGGCGAAGGTTGGTGCAATTAGTTAAAGAAGTTATGAAACCTAAACCTTCTCCTTCTACACTTTCCAACTGATTTCCCATGAGATATAGAAGTTGAAGATTCCTTAGGCTTCCAAGGTTTGAAGGTACCACGCCACTGAAATTGTTATTCCCTAATTCAAGCTGTTCTAATTTGGTAGCATTTAGAAAAGAAGCTGGTATCTCTCCATAAAAATGGTTTAGAGGGACATAGAAATACCGAAGATTAGGAAGAGTGAAGCCAACATCAGATGGAATTCTACCATGCAACTGGTTCTCTGCCAAAGAAAATTCATACACTGACGATAAATTGTAAATGGAAAGTGGGACCTCCCCAGATAAATTGTTTTGAGAAAGCTGTAGGAATTCCAAGTTTAGAAGTTTTCCAAGCTCTGCTGGTATACTTCCCTGTAAATTATTTTCCATCAAGGATAATTCTAAGAGTGAAGATGCGTTGCCCAACGTTTGTGGTATACTTCCTGTTAATTCATTTGAAAAGAGTGTGAGAACCTGTAGGCTTTTTGTTATATTTTGAAGCTCCATTGGGATTTTACCTGCAAGGTTAATTATTGTAGCTGAGTTCAATATATATCTTGGAAATTTGAACAGAATGACATATAAATTGATTCAAATTTTACCATGAAAATGGTTGGAAAAGAGAAGAAGATATCTTAGTCGGAACAAACGACCAATTTGTTGAGGAATCTCGCCCGTGAAACTATTGTAACTGAGGTTGATTTGCCTTAAGAAGGATAGATTTCCAATGTGAGGAGGTATAGAACCAGCCAGCTCTTGGCCTCCTAAATTCAAGACGGTAACTCTACCTTGGTGCTTCTTACTGCATAAAACTCCTGTCCAATTGCAGTAATGAGAAGACTCATTCCAAGAGGCCAGGATTCCTAATGGATCTTCAACAATTCGATCCTTGAAGGCCAACAATGCAAGTCTGTCATTTTCATTAGTTGGATTCAAGGCGGCTGTGGGAAGA